TTAAACAAAGGACATGATAGATATTTTATACTAATAAATATAAAATTATATATAAAAATTGAAGTGTAATTGAGCTCGTTTATACTCGATAAATTTTCAAGACTCACATACTAGGTTTAAACTTGAGCTCTTCAAGTTATTTGATCTATTTGAGCTCAGTCAGCGGGAACTTAAGCTTGCGAGTAATTCTATTGAGTTCAACTTATTTACACCTTTAATTACACCTAAAATGCCCAACATATTTTTTTCAAAATTTTATGTTACAAAGTGCAAAACCACTATAACCTTTTTTTTTTTTTGCTTTTATAATAGTTAAAAGATTAATATCATGGGTAGTTAAAGAAACAATTCTAGTAAAAATACGTAGTGTGAAGTTTCATTTGGTTTGCCTCACATTACATGTTGTAGAAATACAATTATATTTGGTATGAAAAATGAATAACCAATGATACAATAATAGACTTGTTAGAATAAAATTTTAAATTTAAATACAAGTAGGCATTTTAATGAATCAAATCTTATCTAAATCCAATTCAGATCCAACGTACTTGGTTAAAATTTCAATCCTTCTAGTTGTGCATACGAACAAGGTTGCCATTTCAATCCCTCTTGCTGTGCCGTTAGAATACTCTCTGTCTAGCTACCATTTCGATCCGCTGTCTATTATAAATATCTTGATGTCAGCATCAACACGTGTCCTTCTCAATTTTATTCTCAATTTATGTGTAGTTGACTGAAGACTCCATAGAAGTCAGATCCGCATCCTATCTTGTCTTGTCTTCAATACTAGAGGTACCTCGGCAGAGCCTAGGTCTCCTAATAATTTAATTGAACATATAACAGTAAAATTTTTTGGTATAAAAAATACGAGAAAAATTAAGCATCAGAAGAAATTTCATCTATGAAGTTAACTCTTCTAAATCAAGGAGACAATAAACATAGCATCTATTAAATCCATTACTAATCTTGAGATTAATGAACAATTGCATGGTTGAATACAATTGGGAAGGAAGAAATCTGACTTTTTTCTATGCAACATTGAGAAACGATTTATAAAGAAATAGAAAAAGAGACTTTAATCGATTACATAAAAGAGTTGTTTAAATGTAATAGTTGGTTAGCTACTAATCAAACATAATTAATGAATATCCAAGGATTAAAATTTTTTTCATTAATCTATAAAAGGTTGATCCTATAGTCATAAATTAGACAATATATAAAAACTGTAAAAGTTATTGTAGTTATGCAACATGACTTGCAATTGAAATCTTTTGTCTTGCTCCATCAAGATAGAAGTAGGGAAATAAAAAAAGGGAGAAAAATCATAGATTCCTCAAAGGAGAGTTACATCACATGTCAATAAATGAGAGTGCTACATTAAATTCCCATGTCTCTTATATAATAGGTAGACAATTAGAACGAATGAAAATTGATCCAAGGGTTGTAATGTAGTGTTATTATATTAAAACTAATCTAACGGTGATGAATTAAACAATAGACTCACTTAGTCAAACAATTAAGGTTAAAAAAATTCATTGGGCTCAAAAGGAGAATAAAGGAACCAAACTTGCTCAGTTTGGCATGAAAAAAAAAGCAAAAAAAAAAAAAAAGCGCGATATGCAAGAGGCAAGAAAACCATGTCCAAGAAAAATATTAGACTTATGCCACTTGTCAAATTATTGAAAAGTCAAGTGGCAACAAGGGAGGCAAAGAACTAAACCCCCTTTCCTAAATAAATGAGAGTGCTACATTAAATTCCCATGTCTCTTATATAATAGGTAGACAATTACAACGAATGAAAATTGATCCAAAGGTTGTAATGTAGTGTTATTATATTAAAACTAATCTAACAGTGATGAATTAAACAATAGACTCACTTAGTCAAATAATTAAGGTTAAAAAAATTCATTGGGCTCAAAAGGAGAACAAAGGAGCCAAACTTGCTCAGTTTGGCATGAAAAAAAAAGGTGATATGCAAGAGGCAAGAAAATCATGTGCAAGAAAAATATTAGACTTATGCCACTTGTCAAATTATTGAAAAATCAAGTGACAACAAGGGAGGCAAAGAGCTAAACCTCCTTTCCTTCTTATATACAAGGTAGAAAGGGCAAAAACGAATTGCACAAGCGGAAAGTAGCCAACAACTAAGGCTAAAGCAGTATCTCCAAATCTATGGCACCGAGCAAATGGACCATAATGGGACAAACAAATCAACCGATAGCCAAATAACCAATTGAGACACACGTTTACTGTTCATTCAGGCAACTCCCACTTTTATATAGTGTAGATAGCTTTCTTTTTGTAAGTTAATCAACGACTTCCTTGCTATTGGTAGTGGCTTTTCCCTTCATTTTTAGTTCCTGGTATGCTTTCCCTTCTCTTTCTTTAGCTTCATTCAATATTGTTTTCTGGTTCTGCTCCCTCATTTATTATTATCATATGTAGGACTGTCAATGGGGTTGGGCCAGCCCGAGCTCGGCTCGTTCGGCCCGACAGAAAGCCCGATGAGCCCGATCATTTAGTGAGCCGGTCTGAGCTTGAGCCTAAAAATTAGGCCCGAATTAAATGTGAGCCGAGCTTGGGCCTTATTAGGCTCATACCCGATATAGGCCCGGCCCTTTAATTACCTATATATATAATATTTATATTTTGATATTATGTATAATTATATATCCAAATATATTTTTGCTAAATACTAAATATATATATAAATTACAAAACACAAAAACACATCTAAAGACTCTTTCATGAGCTTTCTTGAGAGCCAATAGTAGTAATGCATAACTAAATCTCTAATTTTTTTTATTGGTTGAGTAACTTTTTGTATTGGCATATTATTGGTTGATTTTTTTTTTTTGGTCTACAAACACAAAAATCATCAAGCATATTTGGATTTAAATCACAAGATTATAAAAAAAAGTTTCAACTTTTAAAGATGTATTGGCTTATGATTGCATGTTTTATTACTATTTTTCATGCATTTTAAACGGATTACATATAAATATTATTGAAAAAATTTTGGTTTATATACTTTTTAAGAACTATTATTTGTTCATGTTTAGTTTTAATATTATAGTCTTGTAAATGTTAAATTAGTTTTACAACTTAATAGTTATAGTAATTATATTAAGAAAATTCAGGAGTAATAAGTGAGATTGGGCTAAGCCCGATTAAGGCTCACAACCCGAATATTATGTGAGTTGAGTATGAGCTTCACATTTACGAACCCGAATCTCATAGCCCAAAGCCCGAAAATGTCTCAAATTAAATGAGCTGAGCTTGAACTCATCAAAGCCCGGCTCATTAGGCCCGATTGACAGGCCTATCATATGCATTGTTTTTCATCTTCTCTTACTCCACATTCAGTAAGTTATTATCGTTATTATGCCTTCTGCATTCAGTAAATTATTATTTACCCTCATGATTTGAGCTTTCAGAGGGGAATTCCACAGTATAGCTCCATATTCTTTCGCTCTCCTTTCTTATAATTTGTTTGACATTTAGAGTTGAACAATCTTTCTATAGTTGTATAGCATATGATTGCATACTTCACGATTCTTGCCTTTACTTTCAAAGTATATAGCTATTATAGAGTTAGGTTAAAGAGTGTTTGCTTGTATTTTTGTTTTCCCATATGCTTCTGCTTGCAAGAAAGCACTAGAAGTGAAAATGAGTCGAATTGATTCCTAACAGTATTATACTTAAACTCGACCTCGACTTGATATAGCACTGCTCGATATTGAACTTGCTCGAGATTGAACTTGACTCGATCAAGTTTGAAATTCCATGGATCAAGCTCGATTCACTAACGTTTCTGAGATGCTCGAGTTCGATTCATTTGGGGCAATATATATATATATATATATATATATATATATATATATATGAAAATATGTGGGAAAAAGAGGAGAATTAACATACAAACAAATATTGAACAATCTATTAACTTAAATCTCAATAATAACAATATCAAGTGGTAACCTTTCGCCCTGATAACTCACAAATCTCAACTTTGAGGGTTTTTCTCAAACTCACTCTCAAAACTCAACACAACTCAACTTTTTTTTCAAGCAACAACTTATTATACTGTTAGTATTTATAGCAAAGTTATTATCACTTTACCCCCTCCAACTTTTAAAGCTATTTTCAATTTACCATCTAATATTATTTTTTAGTCAATTTCTCCATTTCCATTAGCCAGCTCAGTAAGTTGACTGAAAAGTTGGTCCCGTGACTTTTTCTGTATTGTTACTAAATTTTAGGACAAAAATACCCTTAACCCTTTTTTCTTCTCTTTTTTGCTCATAACATTTGAAAGTGTCTTGATTTATTTTAATTCCTTTTCTATTAAAATGATATCTAGCCTTTTTTTATTTTCTTTTTTTCCCAAACCATTCACGAATCCCTTAATTTTTTAATTCTTTTTCTCTTTATTTCTTGTTTCTTCTTTTAATTTCCTGACTACTTTAGTTACAAGGTTATAATATGAAAATTTTCTAGACTTATCTAAACTTTTTTGTAAGTATAAAAAAGTTATCTGAACTTTTTGGTAAGTCTAAACTTTTTATTTTCTTATATAATGTGTCTTTTTCCCGCTCAGTGCAACTTTAGAACAAATGGGCATTGTTGTCATCAATTATTATTTTGGAGTACATATGTCATTTCATCTAAATCATATAACGCTATTTGTTTTGACCGTTAGTTTTGAAAGTAAACTGACTAAAAAATAACATTAGAAGTAAACTAATAGTAGGTATAAAGATTAAGAGAGTAAAGTGATAATAACGCTTTATAGATTGCTAAACTTCCTAATAACTAGTTTCCAAATGGACAAAGGAATCAATCACACAATCGGATTCCAGCTACAACTGTTCACCGCATCGAGCTTTATGGAAACAAGGCTGAACCAAAAAACGATTTAGGACTTGGAATATTCCCGGATCAAATAATTTAGAAACAACTAATTTAATACTATACTTACTGACGGGAAACCTTTGAAGTGTCTGCCAAATTGACTTTGGTCACACGAGGACGCAAACTGAAAACGGCCGCATATAATTTCGCGCTAGCTCTTCACCCGCTTCCAACTTATTAAAAAGTAACTTTTCTGATGGTTTAAGACGAAAATACCCTAGCCAATTTCCTCTCAAATCCTGCTCCTCTACTTTCTTCATCATATCAGTCTGGTGCATCTAAGGAAACGCCGCCGCCCTCCGGCTAACTGACTTCCTCTAAATCCTATTCCTCTACTTTCTTCATCACAAATCGCTACAAGTCGACCTGCATTTCTGGTTGTCGAATGGGCAAGGCACTTTGTCTTGTTATCAACCGTTCTGGTAAGGATATCAAATTCACAGAGTGGAGGCTGGGGTACGAGGAGAAATTGAGTCAGTGGGTACGGAAGGCCGTCGACGAAAAAACAATTAAGTCAGGGGACCATTACGCCTTCAGCGCGTCAGAATTTGCCAAGCATTGGGAGCGTATACAGGAGGTGGTGCGAATGTACCCGGAGTGGACGGTTTCCCTTGAAAGTGAAGATGTGAAAGGGATCCGGCTACCAGTCTCTGAACTCAAGGACAACAGAGCCTTCGTCTTCAAAATGGGAGAAAACAATGAGTTGGTGAAATTAACTGTATCCAGAGAAGAAGCGAAGAGCAGAGGAATCAAGAAAGGATTCTTTGGGAGTCTTGAGAAGATGGAAAGGCAATTAATCTCACTTGTGGTAATTGAACTTTCTCCTTTCTAGATTCCTGTCTCGTGCTTGTGTGTCGGTCAAATTATGCCGGCGCCATTTCATCTATTTGATCGATACAAACTGGGTTTGGTTTCAATTCTTTTGTGTTTGCTTAATTGCTTTTAGCTAATGATGTGTGGTGCGTATACGGTGGACTGTAGGAGTTTTGTGCATTAGTGCTTGATTCAGCTGACAATCTTTACCGGAGTGCTTTTCGCGAGACGAAAAATCTTGTACTAGAAAGAAATTTTTTTGAGGCAATTTATAGAACACTGAAAGCAGTAGTGTAACTCGCTGGTCCAAGTAGTCCACCGTCCTTTTCACACGAGTCCATGATGTGGCTCGAGTCTAACAACGCCACCCCACCCTACAACGACACCATTTGGTTGGCTGTCATTTTTCAGGAAAATCTCTTCACTTTTGGTCAACATACCCTCCTCCAATTTCTTTCTTAGCCTATCTGCATTGGAACTGTACTTAGGCAATCAGTCCACTCCAAACACCATATCACTTCCCCTTAACTTCGAGGTTATGACCACATGCTGAAACTCATAATCACACATTTTCGAAAATTTAAAAGGCTGCATACTCTAGTAGAGAGTAGTTTCCCTCCATTTGCATTTGTAACAGGCAGTGGGCTGGTACTCCTCACCTCCCATTTGATCTCCCTGACTATACCATCATCCACTAAGCTATGACTATTCTCATTGTCTATTAAGATGGACAACGGCTTCACTTGAATGTTCCCGTTAACTCTAATCGTCTTATGCTTAGCAGCCCCAGCTAGAGGATGAACTGAATGTTCCATCAGAGTATCCTGATCACTCCCCTCCACAGTCACAGTATCCATCACTTCCCTCTTCTTCTTCTGCAATCACAAAATCCTCCCCTCCTGACAATATGAATTTCAGGTTGGCATTCTTACAGACATACCTGAAAGTGTAGGGTTCATCACATTTGAGACAGAGAGTCCCTTCTCTCTTTTATCCTGGAAATTCGTAGGGTAATTTTTTTTCTGAAATTATTGGAAGTTTGGTTGTGTTTCTGCTCTGGTTTTCTTTGGGCCTCAGAAGAGAAACTGGTGAGTTTTGACCGGGTTCAGGCTTTTTAGTTGACGTATTATGAGAATTAGTTGATGTCCATTTTTAAGAGATGTGTGAAAGTCTTAGGGAAGGAACCAAGAGTTCAGTGATCTATTCAGTTTCAAACAGCTTTCTTGGTATCTTGCAAAGTGGTAGATTTTAACCAGTTTAACCATACGTGTAATCTCTACTTTTAAACCACTCATAAACAGAGATCCATAGGAGGATTCATGCATGGGAGTAGGGAAGGAATTACTAAAGCTTTTGGAGTTTCAAACTTATCCTCTTAATCTCCAAAAGTTCCGTTTTGCACAATTTTTCTAAACTCCACAATTATTTCATCTGGATTTCCTCCTCCAAATCTTATGCAAATTTGTGTAAAGAATTATGCCCACATTATCTCCTGCCTATTGCTAGAAACTCCCTGGTCAGAAAGGTTATCCAAAAAGCTGAAAGAGAACATGAAAGGCATGAGCCTTTTATACACTGAAAGCAGAAATGTAGCAAATGAATCCAGGTGGTCCACTGTCTTCTTCACACGTCCCCTGATGTGGCTCAAGTCTAACAAATGCCTGCACTTCAAAACGGCACTGTCCTGCTTAAAATTCTGTTAACTCTCTTAATCACCATTCAAATTTTGCCTGAACCTTTCTCAGATGACATTAGACTGATGTTACTGTTGCTAACCAATCTGCAACGATGAAGTATATTACGATAACAATGTTGGTGTTTTAGCTTCATATTGCAGAGGTTTTTCATGTCCCAAAAAAAAAAAATCTGGTTTCAATCTGCAATTACAGTAGAATTGTTTTGCATTGTACTTGATTTATGCTGGACTCTATGGTTGGAACTTTTTGGCACCACTTAGATATCTTATTAATAAGCTTAGAGTTTTTGCCTTGTCTGACATCTTTGTAGTTTTCTCCCATTATTAAGTGAATTCTGAAAAACGTTTGACAGATTTCAATAGCATAATAGCCTCATTTAGTTTCTTATTTATTGTGTGGCAAACTATGCATCAATCTTTTTTGGAGGCATTACTCGATTAATTTCTTGATTTTAGTGCACCTGCTGATGTAATTTCAGGATATGTTTTGGTTAATATAGGGTGTGAACAGAATTGTGGTTAAGTTTCCCCTTCATTTGCTCATCTTACTGTCGACATCATGACAGCTTTTGATGCACAGAATGTGGAACTTTCTAGTTTGTCGTCTGCCATTGTATTTTGCCTTTTTGGGTCTGTATTTTACTAATTAACTTTCTCATTGGTTATTTTCTTATCAATTGGACTAGAACGAGCGGAATAACATGTGAAGAACTTGGCAAGGCTATTAGGAGTCAGCACCAAGTTGGATTTGCTTATCTACCTTGCAAGTGGTCTGGTAAGTTCAGACCGATAAAAATCAATATCGCCAAGGCTGTAGTGCATATGAACCCTGTCATTTGGTGATTAGAGATTTGTTTTTGGTATCCATGTAAAAATCTTCTGACCAGCTAGTTAGGGCCAGATGTTCGATTGATCAAGATTTTTCATTGATGTGCTAATTGTGTTGCTGTTCATATTCTCTCTAGTTTAGAGCTTCAACTCGTACCCATCTTGTACATGCATTGCAGTGCCTTAAGCAATTTATCATTTTATCCATAGTCCGGGCTACAAATTCAGTAAGGTATGCTTTTGAAAATTGGGAAAGCCCTCAGGAAGCAGGAGCCAACTCAACCCATGGTGTTTGACTTTTCCCACTGACCATAGTTTTGTTTCTTTCGGTCTATTTGACTGCCAAAAAATCAGAACCTGTTAATTCCCTCAGTCTCTTTGAAGACTGACAGAATCCTTGCAAGCAAAGTCGAAAGACATTGTTAAAGCTTATTGACCTTTTCCACAAGAATGGCACCTAGATGCGTTGTGAGGGGATGCAGCAGAAACCTGTTGATAGCTTCTTTTTGCACGAAATATGTTGTATTGCTGAACATTCATTTTCTTGTTTTTGAGGCCTTTAACTTAGGACACTATATAGAATCTAGGTTACCTGATATTGGAGCGGGAAAAGAATGCTTTGAATGATATGCAGTTTGATCTCTGAACTGCCTTGTCACCATGGTTACTCAGGTGGGAATCTGTGGCCTCATGTATAAGTAATTTAGATAAGTTGGTGTCCCTCTTGCGATTGATGCCCCTGCTGCAGCTAACACCATTTTTTACCCTTATTTCTAATATTAGGTTCTTTCAAAATTCCTGGCAAGTCTGCAACATTTGTATCATGGAAGATGGGAAGTCTTTTTACTTGCGTAACATGTGTATGTTACAACTTGTGGGTGTCAAAATAGGCAATTTGGACATGTTTTGGGCATGTTTGGAGGGCTTGTAGTTGGGTGATAGTGTAATTAGGTGAACTCATTTGTTTTAAGACGTCAACGCATTCATTCAGTGTCTAAATATATGCGGTCTAACGTAGAGGCAGGAAATCCAGCTATTCATTTATGACCCTTAATTTTTAGTTTTACTTCTTTTCCACAATTTCACACATTAGCACACACACTGCCATCTTTCTGTTGTCCATATATTTTAATATCCAGTTAAGGTACTTTATTTTATTTTATTTTTTGTTGCATTTTCTATCAATTGGGACAAGGTACAATTTTGGGTTTTCGTACATTTATGCTCAACTTGTGGAACAGAATTTGAGGCTATATGCAGTACATTTTGCTTTGATTGCTGAAGTTTATTACGAGGGAGAATGATCAACATGGGTCCTCACATTGGAAAAAAAAAAATCCATTTTTAGTGTCTGACATACAAAACGATGCAAAAATAGTCCCTCGTATGTAAAAAATCCACCAATTCAGTTTCGAAGTCTATTTCTGATGAAGGAATCGGAGTAATGCTTCCTTCGAAAAAAGGCTATCCCACCCCCACTTTTGAGAGGACGGGAAATGGGAGCTGGGACATTTTTGAGAAAAATATGCCATGCATTTTCTGGTTGGAGACTTGGTCAAAATAGGTTGCATGACCAAATACCTGTACGAGAAAGAGACGACAGTAACCGTAAGTGCGAGGTAAGAAGTAGAACATGAAAGATCAAGGCTTCACTGTGAACCTGTAAGGGCCCAAGAGAACGACTGTGATGTTTCATCTCGTAAGAGAGCACAGCCGAGCAAAATTGCTCCCATGATTGCTTATGACAAACCAAACCCCAAGTTGCTGATTGTAAGTAATTGAACGATAAGTGGTGTCAAATGTAATAACATCGCCAAAAACTGAAAATGCACGGATGGTGATACGAATCCCGTTGATGACGAGGATCGCGGCAACGAACCTTGGACCGATGGTGATATTCACAGATTTGAATTAAGTGAAATTTTTTATTTCAGACCCCTCTAATCCTCTTGATTGCAAATCTTCTTGACCTACAATCAAATGAATTAGCGAACTCTAGGAATTTGTTAAAAGACGCAACGATCAAGAATGTAATTTTTGATTGATTAGCCAAATATGAACACTAGACGATTCTAGATGTTCAATGGAAGCTCGTAAAGCCAAAGAAAGAAATCCCTCAAGAATAATGTTCTCAAATTATCATATTCTGCCATTGAAAAAGGAAAAATGATGTTTTAATGTCTTGACACAAACGTATCCAAACATGAGCTTAACAAACTTGGGCCTAACAACCTAGGCTTAACAACTAAGTAGATCTTAACATGTGGCCCAAAATCCTAGAAACTAAAAATGGATCCAAGTTTATGATTGGATTGTTTTATTTAGCTATTAAGTATGTCCAAAATAACAACTAACTAACAATTAACATTCGACCTTTCAAGAATCATCTTCATCTGTGGCTTGGAGCAAGGTAACGAGATTGGATTCCATATTTGGTGCTCCAATTGATTGTTGGACAATGCAAACCAGGGCTTGAAGTGACTTATTGAGGTGCTTGGCTTGAGCTCACATCATTGGACCCACCGGAACGATCATTGACCCAACTTGAGTATTCGGATCGACTTGGACAGCCTTGGATTCTCCATCAAATGGAGTCTCCATAAGCCCGTGCAATATTTTCTACTCCTCAATAGTATAGTTATAGACAAATCCATCATCCTTCTGTGCCATGGCAGTACAAGCCTCAAGATGCTCTTGGAGATCATTCTCCCTCGTCTCATCCCAGATAGCCTTTCTTTTTCCGTTGTACTCTTAATTTTTTTCCCCCTCAACATGATAATTTCCGTTCTACTCTTACTCCTACTCTTACTTTATATAAAAGGGAAAGGACGAACCCAAAGGAGTCAATAGAGACCCGGAGGGGTTTGAACCGCCACCAAATTAGACGGGTGCCTCGTGCATCCATTAGTGAAAATTTCTAGGGAAGCCTGGATAAGAAAATGTAAGTCGAGAGATTTGATCTCTCGACCTTCACCCAAGGGGGGATTTAAGTCCCTCCTTAGTAGAGGTGTTCATCAGCTGGTAATCGAGGATTCAATAAAATTTTTTTTTAGGGATTTAATAATCAGTTTGTGAAGATAAATATCTGATTACTGTCCAAACTTTACTTTGATAAATTGGAGGGGAGAGGGCCTTGGTTCAAGCTTAGGAATTGGAGTAATTGGAATCACATCCAAAATTTCAGTATGAAATTTGATCAAGAATATCATTACAATGACTAGTGTTTGGTATATATTTATAAGATTTTGGAATCAACTTATTTTTTATTTTCTTTTATTTATTTTTTTCTTCTTTCCTTTTTCCTGCTTCCCAACTTTTATGTACTCATGCTTCACCAAATGTTCTGGAACCTCAACCTAACCATCACCAATCAATCTTGCAATCTATAGAACTTGGGAGAGCGACTGACAAGAGGTGAGAGAAAGGCTTACACAAAAAGAAAAAAAATAGAGAGGAGAGAGAACTAGATGGAGAGAAGCAGTTGCCATGGAGTATTGGAGAAGAGAGGAAGAGAGTGAAAAGAGAAGAAAAGAGAAAGTGAGAGAGAGATTAACAAGAAAGGAGAGAAAGAACTAAATAGGTTGGGGCTGCTGTGTGACAGCCCCACTTTTCCCTAAGGCGAATCAAAGGGGTTAGCGGACTGCCTGCCCAACTCTCGCCAGGACTAACAGTTCAGTTTACGTCGATCTAATACGTTTCGGAACATACAAATGCGCGTAACAAGTCAAAATTACAAAATAAAAAAAATGAAAATCGGAGCGGGCCATAAATAGTACCGGCCACGTCAGAATCCGGCCAAACATCAAGTAAACATACACATCTTGAAATTCAACATTTACATACCAAAATGGCATGCCAAATTATCCCATCAGTTTATACATGTAGGGTTTGCCAAATCAAAAGAGAAACGGACCCAAAAGTGCATTTAGGGTTTCAATCAATGAGCTATACAAAAGACATGTACATCTAGCTCAATTCGGCAATCAACTATCAAATCCAGTCCAAAAATATTTATTTTCCTGTAAGGAAAACAAAAGGAACAGAGTGAGCTTACGCCCAGTGGTATACTATCACATAAGCAACCAAGTCATATAGGCATAAAGCGGTCAAGAAAGAAATAAACCAAGATCACACATTAACAAGATGGTAAAAGGATACGGACGGCTCTCAAGAGCCCCTTTCCTCGCTCGTATACTTGATCGGACTTCATTGACCCTCTGTCAATGTTTACAAAGTAACCAACCGTAGGCTCCACTTTACTTCCATTCCTTCCACCCAACATACCCCTACCGGGCCCGAACTCCAAACAGTAGAAATTTGGTAATACTCGAGTATACCGGAATCAAGAGTCTCACTACTACAAGATTCCATATAACAGTCCCCATGGCTCGTCGACATTCACGACCAAACCCTCGCTGGCTCGATTCAATCGACTACCAATGGGGTTGAGCTCAGTAGTATCAGTAAGGGTCGTTGGATAATCGTCCAAGCGACACCCAATTCATGAATTAAATTCAGTATTTCATGTATCATTCAATCATTTCAGTGAAACAGTAGACAGTCATATGAGATATCAAATGGGTGAGGGCGATCAAGTACACCCTCACTTGATCAATTTCAACGGAGCAAATAAGCCTTCAAGGCATCAAGTTCACATATACCAAAGCCACATTGTAAACAACAAGTGAGTAGTACACTCACCAATCAAGCAAATGATATTTCATGCACTTTCGCTTAAAAGTGTCTTGCACCACCGTCACGTCCTAACATGGTCAAATAAGCACAATAAGACTCGATTACAAGTCATAACCAATTCCAAATACTCTCAAAATAAGATTCGATAAGAATATATAAGCATTAGAGTAAACCAGGAAAATCCGGAAATGGAATTAAACTTCAATCCAAAAAAAATAATTTTTGACATCATTTTGCGGTTTTGGCACCAATGGCACTACAATTATCGGATGGAGGTGTAAGATACACCGTTTCGAAGCCAAGAGATAGGGCTATAATATTACAGAAGGTCACTTAGTCCAATTCATAGCACAACTAGGTCAAAAATGCAAGATACTAAACCAGAACCGTAGAAACAGGTGGACAAATCACATTCTGGTTAACGAACTATAATTCAGGCTACCTAAATTCAAATCAAGTGATTCCATAGCCATCCAAAAGCTAGGACAGCAGGCTACAATTCTTCAGAAGAC